ATCTTGGCCTTCCTAGTCTGTAGAACTGTGAGCCCATTCATTTCTGCTCACTGAAAATTTACTAATGGATGATATTTCTTTCACAGCATCACAAAATGAACTAATCTACTTGTAGTGAATAGCCTATTTGTTTAAAGTGCCTGGATATTCAATACAGCATACAGTGTTTCTCACTTCAGAATCAATGTTTCTTGAAATCCAGTGTCATCATCACCTTAAAGAAATAAGAAATGAAGAAGAATGGGAATAGTTTTAGGAATAGGAGGAGAACAGGCTTGCTGGACATCCCTTGTACATAGAATTATGTTGATGGAAGGGGTAAGAGGAAGCAGCGAAGAGGGTAGTTCCCGGAAATAGGGGAAAGAACAGGGAAGTTGCACATGCCAGCACAGTTATTTTATCCTGTGCTCAACTGGCATTGTGACTTATTTTCTGAACAGTGGCAACTAGTGATAAGGCGGTAGGTAGAATGAGATGGTAGATACATTTGATTTTCAAATAGCTGGCTATATTAGTTTACCATCCCATCCATTTAGGGTACCAGGGATATAAAACATCTACCAAAACTGAGTTTATAATCTCTGAAGTAAGATGAATGTACTCATCTAGTACATACTACATATCAGCATTTCTTATGATATGTCATGCCAATTACGTGTCAGACTATCTTAAAGACAGACATCATCACTGTCATCATCATTGTGAGAGAGAATGTCATTGCAGTCTTAAGAAGTTTAAGATAGGGATGGTAAAGGGAAACAGAGGAGGCAACAGTGCTTGATAAGAAATGGACTCATTACCTTGCTCACGTAACTGTAACCCCTCTCTACAGTATTTTCACAATAAAAATATATATAAATAAAAATTTAAATAAATCAAGAAAAAAAGAAGTTTAAGATGTATCTGAGGTTATCTGCCTCCAAGCTTCTCCCTCTTGAAAAACATTCTTTCCTTAAGGGAAGGCTGTAGCTTTGATGTGAAGATGTGATTCATTTCCAAGGTCACATCCAAGCCCATCCTACCCACCATGGACCCTTTCCTCTCATCGTCTGTTAGGAGGTCTCCCGGGGTTGCTTACAGCCCTCACTAGGCCATCTGTTTCTCTCTGAGCAGTGGAGATTGGATTTTTCTGTCCTGAAAGCAAGGTCAAAGCTGTTGACTTCTCTCCAGCTTGAGATGCAGGCTTTCAATTTAGGGACTTCTTATACAAAACTCGATCCAAGGCCACTCAGCATAATTGCTAGCTGTGGGCTTGGAAAACAAGTCATTTTCCTGGAGACCATCAACCAGCTCTCTATCACTACTCTTTTCCTTTCTTCTTCCTAAAAAAAGAATAGAAATTTCAGCCTTGACAAATGAACATGGGCTCAGGGATCATTTGACAGGTACTTCTGACCCAAAGTTCCACACAAATACCTTAGAAAAGGTGTGCTGACTGTTTTGATGAAAGCTGTTCTGGGAAGGCAGAGTCTTTCTAATCTATCATGTGCAAACAGCATTCAGTATAAGGGCTGCTCTTGCTTCTTCTGGTGTTTCTCTAACACAAGAGTCAGGCTAGGTTCAGTTGGCTTACCTCTATGATCCTAACTATTCAGGGGGTTGAGATCTGAGGATCAAGATTTGAAGCCAGCTTGGGCAGACAAATCTAGGCCACTTTCATCTCCAATTAACCAACAACATGCCAGAAATGGAGGTGTGGCTCACGTGGTGAAACACCACCACTGAATTTAAACAAACACACAAACAAATGAAAAAACAAGCATGAGAGTATGAGGCTCAGAGACCAAGCCCCAATACTGCACCACATACATATATACATACATACATACAGACAGACAGACAGACAGACAGACATTGACAAATGATGATTTTGGGAGACTGAGTAAACAGGAAATACTTCTCCAATTCTGCCTTCACTCTTCACAGTGGAGTCTACAGGCAATGGGAAGTTTCCCTCACATTATGGGTCACACTCAATGAGTGTGGGATATGGTAAACTAAAGTATACAGGATTCCCCAGAAAGGAAAAGTCAGGCCTTTCCTCCTCTACTAGGTACCATGTGTGAACAGTTCCAAGAAATTTATGACCACAATGATTGGGCCTGGTACAAACAGAAGTCAGAGAAAGGCAGGTTTCTACCGCTGATACAATTGCTTCGATGAAGACTTCAGACAATTGAATACTTTGCTGCCTATCTCAAGTACCAGACAATTCTTTTAAATCCTCTGCTTTGCAGGTACACATTTTCTTTTTTTCTTTCACCTTCGAAATTTCCCTTTATATATCTAAATACACATAGACACATCTCCAGTATGCTGGAGACATCTCCTGGTGCCTTTGTGAGTGAGTTTATTTTCAGGGATTTGTGTTAACTTATCATTGTGTTTTGGATCTTATCTTATCCTTGAGTGGATGCTCCCAAGACATTGCCATTATCCTTTGTAGTCACATCAAGATGTATTTGGTTGCAATTAAATTCTAAAGCTCTAGATTATCAATTGACCTGAACTTCCATGCCTAGATCCCCTTGTTTCCAGTGAGAAAAAATTGTACAACATAAAATGGGCCAAGGTCCCTTTGAAGGATTATCCTTAAGGCTCATCTTTGAGAGTTGGTCTGAGCTCAGGAGGGCACTTACTTAGCTAGATCTTTGGTCATTTAGGTAAACATTTGGTTTGTCATCTTGTTACTTGTCATCATTTTTTTTTCACACAAAATGCAGGAGTTTCAAAACCACAATGAAAATACATTTCAAGGCATCTCAGAAAAGGAATGTCTCACAAGGTAGAAGTCCAGCAAAGATTCATTTCAGTTGAACACAATAAAGAAGGGAGACACAGAAAAGGGAGAGAAGAATTCCTGCACTTCACCCACAGGTGATGGTGTAAAGAAGGCTCAAAATGATTTTCCTTATTGAGGAGATGGAATCCCTAGTCATGTTGTGAAGTTTACAAGCATTGAGAACATACATTAAGAATGGATTTATTACTGAGAATTACTGAGATTTACTCATTCTAGGTCACCCACTCTTTGCCCAGTTGGCTTGTACTGTGATGATCCTATTTACACTGTGCACATTACATCTGGGATGACAGATCTTTGCCATCGTGTCCAGCCTTTTATTGGTTGAGGTAGAGTATCCCAAACTTTTGCCGGGGTTATTCTTGAATCATAATCCTCCTGATCTCTGCCACCTAAGTAGATAGGATTTAAGCATGAGCCACTACCCTTGGCCTGATATAGTCTTTCTGGAAAAATAAGTTGACTCAGTTTGCTACTCTTCTGGTAGTTCAGTAGATGTCTCATTTTAGTGAGTGGCCCTATTTTGGAATTAAACTGTGAAGGCAAGGGAGCATTTTCTTTTTTTGTCAGTAGTGGGGCTTGAACTCTGGGCCTGGGTACTGTCCCTAAGCTCCTCAGCTCAAGGCGAGCGCTTTACCACTTGAGTCACAGCGCTACTTCCAGGTTTCTGGTGGTTAATTGAAGATAGTCTCACAGACTTTCCTGCCTGGGCTGGCTTTGAACTGTGATCCTCAGATCTCAGCCTCCTGAGTAGCTAGGATTACAGGCATGAGCCACTGGTGCCTGGTTCTATATATAAACTCTATAAATTTAAGTCTAGGAGTTAAAGGACCTCAGCAATTATTTCTTGTTTCCCATTGGCTTTATCTCTCTCTCTCTCTCTCTCTTTCTCTGTGTGCATGTGCACAGGTGTGCATGCTGTCTGGACTCACTAATAAGAACTAAAGAAAAAACACAGATTAGTTTGTAATTTGAGATAGGAGTTAAAACAATATATCAATAATGTACTGAGTACATTCTACATTCCCTGCTGCCGATATGTCATTTAATGCTCCTAGATACTTGATGACATGGATATTATTATCTTATTCCTTTCTAGGAATAAAACCATACTGGTTGACAGGTAAGTAACTTAGCATAGTTCAAATGTTGAAGAACTAGAAATAGATTCATAAAATTCATCTCAAAATTCTACCACTGGTATCACAGTGATACCAGTGATGCTGCTTCTTTGGAACAAATAGACTGCAATAAAAAAATTATTTAAACTGGAAAATGTTTCTCCTTCTTAGGATTCCATTGAGTTTTTCTTTTTTAAATTTTATTTTATTGTGAACATGCCATCCGGAGGGGTTACAGTTACATTACCTAGGTAATGAGTACATTTTTGTCAAACATTGTTACCCCCCTCCTCTTTTGTCCAATGAGTTTTTCATAATTGTTTTGTATTCGTGCCAGTACTCGGGCCTGAACTCAGGGTGTGTTCTCACTCTGCTTTTTTACTCAAGGCTGGCATGCTACCACTTAAGCCACACCGCAACTTCCAGATTTTAACTGCTTAATTACAGATAAGAGTCTGTTGGATTTGAAATCAGGGTGGTTTTGAACCATGGTGCCCTGATCTCTGACTCTGGAGTAACTAAGATTATAGGCATGAATCACTGGTGTCCAGCTTATACTTGTGTTTTTAGATGTATTTAAGGAAGCTGTTATTTGGTTTCTTGCTTTTAAAGAAATTCTTTTAAAAATGTATGGACGGCAATCACTAATTCCTTCTAGGAATTTCTCCTCTTGGAGTCCTACAAGGTCCTATGCCAAGTGTTTGCTGTCTTTCTTGTTCTTGCTCTTGTCTCTGCCTTCTTCATTTATAGAGATTTGTATGATAAAGCTTTCCAGGACAATCCTGGTTGATACTTGTGGTCTGGTATTATTACTAATAGTTGTTCATTCTCAAAGCTCTATGGTTTGGATGATGTCTACATGGTCAACTTAATTATTCATCAGTGAACATGTCAAGGGTGTCGTATTGCAGGTTCCCACTAGGTGTCAGTAGTGTAACCTGTGGAGAACCCTCAGCAAACATTTCATTACAAGTCAAATCAAATAATTAAGTGTGGTTTAGGAGCTACCTGCAGTCTTGACCATTCAAATCTAGTGAAAGAACAGGGTGTGGGGCAAGAGAAAAAGAAACAGATGCAGGACAGGTAGCTCCTTCCTGGAATCCAGTAGAATGGGACAGGATTTCTTTCTTCACTAAAGGACTCCACAGATACATGGAACGATCACTGTATTGTCCTTTCCAATTTTCAGTCACAAGACGGAACCAGTTGGCAATGAAGTGAGAAAGCAGCTTTGAATGGAGAGATATTTTCCTCTTGATAAATTGTTCTTCAAGTCACATTCGGATGAAGGGCAATGAAGGTTGTACAGATAACTAACTGGGCTGTAACAAATGTACTGCAGAACTGCATTTGAACCAAGAAGCCAAATCTCCTGAACACAAATGATTTAAAGATGATTAGAAAGCACCTTTGTGCAGAGTTAGTAACACCTTGGTCTCTTCTCCGAATGACCCAGGAACTGCAGCTATTTTATTGGTAACCCAGGTGATGCAGCCAGTCACTAGAAGCCCTCTCCAGCTCAGAGGTGTGGCACACACAAAAGCCAGGTGTGCAGCCCGAGAAGCCCAAAGTCATGGATCTCCAGGTATTTGTGCCTCTTCATTATTGGAAGTCATTGCTATTGCTGTTGGTCCTTGCATGTTCCGAAGTATCTTCTGACTTGAATGAATCCACAAATTCCTCTGGCCAGCAAGTACCTGGTGCTTGGTTCGCGGCTTCTAGCTCAGAGCCAGGTGAAAGGATATCTGTTTTTGAACTGGATTATGACCATGTGCAAATTCCATATGAGGTCACCCTTTGGATACTTTTAGCATCCCTTGCCAAAATCGGTAAGTCTTCCAATGCCTGGTTTGGAACGGTGTTGTTGTTGTTGTTTTTTCCCTCACATTGGTAACATATGTGAACATTCTTATAAACAATGCTCTAAATGGATTGTCATTGTTACCACTCTGATATGAAAAAAATCCCCCTAAATCAATAGGAAGTCACAGCTATTTAATGCTTTGAGATTGTGGCTTGATATTTAAAAGCATACTCCTGGGCTGTTTTGATTTCTTATCCTTTCAGCATGACAGCCATATGACATTGACATGTCAAGTTTTAGGTTCTTTGTTTGAAAAAAAATAATATGAAGAGGGAGGCACAAAAGACCGTGGAGTGGTACAGGATAGAAATTTCAGGAACCTCATAATTTTCTTCTGTAAAATATTCTGCATGCTTAGCTGTGTAATGGGATTCATCGATGTTTATTTCATCAATGTTTATCCTTTACAAATGGACAGAAAACAAGAAATGAGACTAACACAGGTCTCTTGCAGTCCTGGTCCTCCAAGACAGTTTACACCCAATTCGAGTAGAGCTAATGGGGAAATTCTGGTTTACTTATGCAATAAGGTGAGTTCGTGGCAATGGATTAACTTCTAACTCAGGGTTCCTTATACCCAGATCCAAAGTGGTGGTTCATACTCTGTGCTTATTTAATTCCCAGTTGCAACTTACTGTTTCCTTAAAGTCAGCTTATTCCAAAGTGAAAAAAACTATATAATTATCTAAATTACTAAGCATAGTATATTCTTTATCATCCCTTTAAATTTGATATTATTTGAGTATGTAGAATGATTTATTGAGGTAGAATATCTAGTATATATATATATATATATATCTTAGTGTGTTGTATGTATGCATATTTATGCATATATATGTAGATTTATAAATGTAGATATAATTTATGATTTATATGCAATATATAAGATACAAATAAAGCTTTTGTGGGCATAGGTGCTGGAAAAATATATACACAGAGAACACTAGGATAAATGTAAAATGTGGGTTGAGCCATGTGTGGTTAACTTCTGTAGGTTTTTATCTGTCTGTGAAGGTGTTCTCATTAAGTGCTTATTTATAACAGCTATTCATTTTGAGCTAATGAAGTGTGAAGATTCAATAGGAATTGTCAGGTTGAAGAACTCTCTTGCAACTCTTAAAACAATTAAGTTGTACAAAGCATCTGCCGTTATTTTAAACAAGTGTTGGAGTAAAACTGGCTTTCTAAGTTGGAAACTGTCTCAGTTCAGAAATTTAACATCTTGTGAAGCCATGTTTATCCTGAAAAAATTCCAGGTGGTCTTCTGTGGTATGTTGGTGCTCCTTTGTAAACATTTGTCTCCATGGTCCCTGCCCCCTCTTCCCTTCCTTCCTTTCTAGCACTGGCTGGATAGTTAATTTGGGGATCAGGAAACTAGATGTAACTGATTGGCTACCCACTCAATGAAGAAATGGCCCATTTCATCTTGGTTTTATAGTAGCAAAAACAGCTCATGATTCTGACGTGCTGTGTATATAAAATGAAGGAAGTTATAAAAGCATTGTTGCTCATGGGACAATTGGCTTAAAGTGATTTTGATTTTCATATTGATACAGTTCAACATACTTTAGAAAGAAAAAATACCTAAATAAATTACCAGCTGGACCATGCTTATTCAGGTATGATTTCACATTTGCTAGGCTTTAGGAATCTAGATATCGACTGTTTTCCATAGGAATGTTGGAGTGGGGAGAAAAAGAGGCATATGTATACAGTGTGTGTTCAGTACTAGGCTGGTTTTATTTATGGTGGCTCATTCACCAAGCACATAAAAACAATAACAACTTCCAATGTTTAATGCTTAAGAAATGTATATTCTTTTAAGATTATATTATGAAACCTGAATAAAGATACAATGAACAATTATCATTTATTATTTTATTCCTCCTTCAACCAAAGCACATTTACTACGTACCCACATGTATGTGGAAATGAACTGGTGCCTGACGTTAAAGGACTTAGTTCAGTGTAAAAGATGTAGAACTGCCTGTTAGGCCTTCTAACAGAAACACATCAAAATATTCTAGAATCTATTAAAAACACTTATGAATTTATAAATAAAGCTGGTATACAACCAAAGTAATAAAAGGTCACTTCACACTTGGTGGGCTAACTTTTATTTTAGATTCATTTCTTGAGACATTGTGGAAAAAAAAATGTCCCTTAAATTATTTGGAAGAATAGAATTGTAGGTTAGCTTTTATTTTTTTAAGAACTTTATTATATGGATTCATTTCAATTTCAGGCATAACTAAAACTATAACATCTTTTTTTTTTTGCCTGAACTCTGGGCCTGGGCGCTGTCCCTCAGCTCTTCAGCTCAAGGCTAACGCTCTATCACTTGAGCCACAGCACCACTTCTGGCTTTTTTCTTTTTGCTTATGTGGTGCTGAGGAATTGAACCCTGGGCCTCAGGCATACAAGGCAAGCGCTCTACCACTGAGTCACCTTCCCAGTCCCATCTATAACATCTTGAAGTGGCTGACTCAGGTGTCTCTCATGAAAAGAAAGACACTTTGGAAAAGAGAGACACTTTTGCTGCTGTACAGTTTCAACTGTAGGCAGTAGAACATTGTGTCCATTTCAGGAACCCAGATTCCTGGAAGTAGAACCAGACTGAGGAGCCATAGAGCCTGAGAGTTACAATATGGGCTCTCCCACTTTTAGATTGACATGAAGGCCAATGAGATTAGGTTCGGAGTGTATGTATGGGGAAGGGAGGTCCCTTGTTGATAATTATATTCCCTGAACTAACGTGCCTGCATATAATAGAGATGTTTAATACTGTGGTCAGGGAAATGCTTATCCTCTTTGGATGCTGAAACCTTAAAAAAACATTCACTGGCTCCTCTTGGCCTATGGGAGAAAGCTTACTTTCCCTAATTTTGAATTCAGGATCCTGCAATATTTGGCACAAAAATCATCTTCCAAATCATTCTCTAATACTTCTCCCAATTCAAAAAGTGCATAGCCAAGTAAATTTCCTCAATGATTGTCAAGAACTGGACAAGTTTTTTTTTTTGTGTGTGTGTGTGCCAATACTGAGGTTTGAACTCAGGATCTAGACACTGTTCCTTAGTGTTTTAAATTTTTTTTTGTTTTTTGCTTTTACTGTTTGCTCAAGGCTGGCACATGACCACTTGAGCTACACATTTACCTTGGTTAATTGGACATAAGAGTCTCATAAACTTTCCTGCCCAGGCTGGTTTCAAACTATGTTCTTTACATCTCAGCTTCCTGAGTCTCTAGGATATGATCCTTCGATCTCAGCTTCCTGAGTAGCAATGAGTACAGATGTGATCCACTGGTACCTAGCTGTTCTGTCTTCTCATTAAAGTTGTCATCTAACAGGTCTCTCATTCTGTTCTAACTATGTAAGTAGATATCATTTTCCAATGATTCCTTCATTTTTCTCACATGTCAAATATCCCCAATGAACATTTAACCCATTCACTCATTCATTTCCACACTTATAGATTATTCTAGATATTTGGTAGACTTGGTTCTTGCAGATAAGACCCTAGGCTAAGCACTTGAAGAAATGTAAAATTCAAATCATTTGGTCTGAGTCTGAGAAAATTATAGGTTGATAGGAGAAGTAAGTCATGCTCAAAAATTGTAGATAAATATCATTATTATTACAGAGTGACTGTCTAATTAAATTGCTTAGTATTTTGGAGAAACATTTACTATTGCCATAGGACAAGATAAATGAAGTTTAGCCTCCAAGTCTGATCAGAATTAAAGACCAGGAAAAAGAACAATTTAAGCAATGATAATAGAATAAGAAGATTAATAAAAGGGACCTGAGTGGAAAGGAATTTAATTGGCTCTGTATACAGATCAGGCAGATTGTGTGGCAGACAGACATGGAGACAACCTCCTGGTGGATGCACTAAGACCTGAGCTCTTACAGTATATTAGTATGTCAATGTGAATGTTACTATTTCTTTATGTGTAATGTTGTAGCTCTTGTTATGTATGTCTTATTACTAAAACTGTGTCAACACTGGAAGTAGCATAGTTTACCAGTACATAACGGAAGATTGGTCCTTGCAGAGGGAGGCTAAGCAAGTAGTTTTAGTTTAAAATCCATGAGATGCTTTTCATGCCAAAAGGGGAGTGTGAAAATCAATGTAAATGATGCAGAAAACTCATCTGGCTGTACAGAATGGCCTGTGGCATTGAGGGCGAGAAATAATCATCTTCCACCACTATAACAAAATGTTTGAAATAATTAACTTATCACAAGAGGTCTTTCTTTGTCATTGCTTTTAATGTACCGTGTGATTTTTTTCGTTTCCTTTGTATATTCTTCCCCCTATGGTATATCCTCTGTTGTCACTGTACTTGATTTTGGTACCGTGCATCTTATATACAAGATGTACACATTGATCTAATTTGGGGAGGGGAAGGGGAATAACAAAACACTGAAACAAGGACACAGGCTGACCAATTGCAACGATTATACCCACAAAACAGTATATTGGAAATGAACTTTTCAATTCAGTGGGGAAAGAGGAGTGAGGGAGGTGGGGGAGAGAAAGGATTTAGTGGGAGAACAACAAAGGAGGGGGTAACAATGCTTGACAAGAAATGCACTCATTACCTTACTCAGGCAACTGTAACCCCTCTGTATAGCATCTTTACAATAAAATACACTTTTTTTTAAAAAAAGTAATTAACTTAGCACAATTGTGCTTCACAGTTTGGGAAGCTCCAGTTCATGACTGACTCTCCCTCTTGCTTTTGGACCGGTGCTGAGCAATGTACCATGTCAGAAATATGGGGTGCAACAAAGTTGTCACTTCCTTACTGAGAAGCTGAAGACAGAGGAATAACTTAAAGGCCTCCCACTGGATTCCATTTCTTTTCTGTTTCGATGCTAAAAATAATTTTTGTCAGAGGAGACTTTTAAAAATTATTCTTTAGTGATACATAGGGTTTTCCATTCTCCATGTCAGTTTGTGAATCTCAACACCACCCTTTTCAGCATTTTCCCCCATCTCTCCCAACCCCACCCCTCCCCTCAAGTTATCTGTTCATAAACTTAGATTGAATATTATGCCTATATTTGCCCACCTTCCCTTTCTCCATTTGTCTGCTCCTTTCCTCTTGAACTCACCCCTCCCATGACAACGCGTGTTCCAGCTTTCATTAAGCTCTAAGTTAAATGTCCAAAGGAGTTACTCCAATGGCAGATTCCACTTCTTAAGGGTTCCACTAATTCTGGAGCCATCCAAGCCTTTAACATACGGGCTTTGGAGGCACATTTAAAACCAAAACGGTAGCAGGTCATTAGGACAAACTAATAATCAGCTTGAGAAATAAAGGGACCCTAAAAACAAAAGGCAGCAGCTACAGCAGTAGAGAGCAGGTTTGGGATTTGGGGGTAGCTACCAGGCATCTGTAGCTGACTGCATGAAGGAGCAAAGGAATGGCAGGTCTGTGAGAATCTGACCCCATTTTTCTTTCCTTCAGTGACTGACCAGGTAGCAATGGCATTGGTTAAGTAGGGAGCTTTACCTTTGGTATATATCTGCCTGGTGAAGAGAGAAATGAGGTAAGTTGAGGTACAGGAGACATTGTTAGATTCCGCAGGAGCTACCTGGGAGATTTCGGGTTTTGTTTGAGAGCAGAACTTTCACTCTTCTCTACCCTCATACACTCCCCCAGGTCCATGCAAACTAGGGAAAACAGGAAAGCAGGAAGAAGAGGGGACAGGAGGCTGGGAATAGCTCTAGAAAGTGCTGGGAACCCAGCGTGTTGCATGCAAGTGCTTCCTTACAGCCCCCATAACACATCCAGCTCCTTCTACAGATGGGATGCTGAGGCTCAGATCCCAGCAGGCTTGCCCAAAGTCCTTTCTGCCTTCCTTCCAAAGATCTCTCTTGGGGGATCACTGGAGGAGAGAGAAGGAAGGAGCAACATTGTCCAAAAAAGAAACACACTCCTAACCTGACTTATGAAACAGTAACCCCTTAATAGTAGCAATAGAAGTACATTAAAAAAAAAAAAGACTTCTGGTGGTGGGAGACATGGCTCAAGTGGTGGAACTCTTACCTAGCACCGGTGAGACTGACTTTCCATCCCTAGGATGCAAAGAAGAATTCAGAACACCTGCAAAAACTGAAAGTCCGCTTTCTTCCCAGGCTTCCATCTTTACCACAGGCTGCCAGGCCTCATGCCAGAGAGCTGTCTCCTCATCATCGTGGGGGCTCTGGTGGGCAGCATCATCTTCGGCACTGACCACAAGTCACCCCCGGTTATGGACTCGAGCATCTACTTCTTGTATCTCCTTCCACCCATTGTGCTGGAGAGCGGCTACTTCATGCCCACCCGTCCCTTCTTTGAGAACATCGGCTCCATCCTATGGTGGGCAGGCCTCGGGGCTCTGATCAACGCCTTCGGCATCGGCCTCTCCCTCTACTTCGTCTGCCGGATCCAGGCCTTTGGCCTCGGTGACATCAGCCTGCTGCAGAATCTGCTGTTCGGCAGCCTGATCTCGGCTGTGGACCCTGTGGCTGTGCTGGCCGTATTTGAGGAGGCCCGCGTGAATGAGCAACTCTACATGATGATCTTCGGAGAGGCCCTTCTCAATGATGGCATCAGTGTGGTGAGCTGTCAGTCACCCATCTTCAAGGGGCTCAGGGGGCTGGAGCTGGGCTGAGGACAAGAGATGGGCATTAGGCTATTGGAGAAGGCAAGTCCGATTTGGCTCATGCAAAGTTATGGTTGACTTCAGTCTGCGGGGTGTTGCCCAAGTTAAGGTGTCTTCCCTTAGGATCTGCATCGTGTACTTAATGGCTCACTAGTTTCTTCACAGAAAGAGAAGAGAACATATATCCTTTTTGAGTTAAATTTTTTTCCACTTAGCTAGCAGAACTGATAACTAAAGACCGTTCTGAGCTTTCACAACTTGTGTTTTGATTTCCTCTAATTTACCAGACCTCACCCCAACTTCATATAGACAGATGACAGACAGACAGACAGACAGATAGATAGATATGACACTGCATAAAATAAAGGTAAGTAAAAGAGACAGGTCAGGAAAGAGGTGATGGAGGAATATAGAAAAGTATTATCCTCTATGTCATTCAGTGCAAAGGGAATAAGAAAAGGTGAGTGAAAACTTTTGCTCAGGAGACCTCTGGAGAAAAGCTGAGATCAGACAGGCCAGGTCAACACTGAGCACCAAAGCTTAGGAGATCTCCACAGTCCAGGATGCTGAAATACTCACAACAAAATCATATTCTGCACAGCTCTGTGAATAACTACGACTTATCAGTTGTTAGTCTCTAAGACATTTATGTATACTTTAATGTACTTTAATTTTTTTAGATGTATACCCCCACATGAACTAGAAGAATGTGATTCACTGAAAAAAAGGCAACCAGTACAAAACTAAATACCATAAAGCACAAAAGTTTCCACTTACCCTCTCCTTACCCTTCATTCAAGAGTCCACTTCTATCTATGTAGGTGTCTTCTCTCCCTGATTTGTCATGTACATCCTTACTTATCCCAGCCATACTTGAATATTGTCCTTACAGTGACTGGGAGACTATGTTATAGGTATTGCTTAGATGTAACAAGTCTTGCAATTACGTCTATGTCTTTTTCTGCTGTTGTGTAGTACTTTAAGACTAAGCTTACGTATAATTTATTTAAGTTTTCTTGGTGACTGGTTATTTAGATTGTTTTCACTAAACAAATAATGTTGTGATGAATAGTTTTGTTTCTGTCTGCTTCTCTCTTTTTTTCAGGACTGTATACAGGGCAATTGCTTAGAAATGAAATTTTCAGATCAAACAGTATGTATGTAGAAACTTGATGGGGAATGAGCGCACATCTGTAATTCTGTTTACTAGAAAGACAGAAACAAGTCTACCCTGGGCAAAATGTTAGTGAGACCATATCTCAATGAGTAACTGAGTATGGTGGTATGCATCTGTGGTCCTGCTATGCAGGAAGGGTATAATAGAAGGATCATGGTCCAAAACTGCCACAGCAAAACATACAAGATCTTATCCTCAAAATAATTAAAGCCGAATTAGCTGTGGGAGTGGCTGAGTAGTAGAGTGCTTGCCTAGCAAGCACAAGGCCTTTCAAAACCCTGACCATCAGAAATAAAAATGGACATATACTAGCTGTTTTCATCACCCTTTACTCATGCTGCTGGTAAATGAGAGAGTCTACCTTGTAGTTATGGAGACAGCCAAATATACAACACCTGACTCTAGACAGAGGAAATTGACAGGAATGGAGAATGCCCAACTCTGTGAAGCTCATGGGGCCACATGACGGTTGCACTTGGGAACAGAGGAAAATACCCAGGGCTGTGGCAGATAAGATGACAAGGTTATTCTGGTTTGCAAGAAGGTTGCAAATGGGTTGTTTGGATAATTTTGCAAACTTTCAGGTAACTGAAACCCTCAACTCCGGGAGAAACAGGAGCTGTGTTTGGTGAGGAGGGCTGGGGAGCAGATATCATATCCACAGGACAGCGGATCCAGAGCAATGTAGAGTCAGGCCTCCTTGATTTTGCCCAACATCAAGGTAGCACATGTCCTTGAACTTGACAGCACAGCCACCAAGATTTTCCACAAAGTCTTTGCCAGCTTATGCTCCATGTGCACAGTATTGCCTGTCACTTCTTTACTTTTCGCAGAACACACTATTTCTCCATCAGGGACATTATCATATGATCTAAAAAAAAAATCCCTGCCAAAAGAAACTGTTTATAAATTACCAATGCAAATCCTTTCTGAACTGCCCCTCTGCTCAAGGAGTATCCAACCTCAGCCCCAGTTTTCTCTAGAGCTCACATCCAGAGCCAATCACAGCTTGGTTTCAGGTTGCAGTTTCATTGCCAGCGACATTTGCTTCCCTTTCTCAAAGCTTAATTGCTTCCGCATAGACATTTCTAAAGAATGATCATTTCCAAAATAAAGTTACCATTCTCCAATGAGAAGAGTTATCTTCTGGAGGCACTTCTGTGACCCTGGAGGGGGTCACGGCTGTTGCTCCAGTGAGGTTGACCACATGCCACTCTGTGGTCATCGGGTCACACACAGCACAGTGAGTATTAAGTGTGTGCCAGGGCTCTGTTGGGTCTCTAAGTGAAACCAGAGAAACCCGGAGACCAGATTTAGAAAGCAGCTTGAAAGCAACCCCTACTTTCTGCCATCCAATGATATTTTGAGCTCAGGGCTTTGAACTCACCCTCTCATTGAGCAGGGAGCAGCGGTCCAGTCCTGCCTGTTCAGCAGAAGGTTTGAGTCATCCAGAAGGGGGCCTGTGGTTGTGGGTACATGCTGACAACTCGCAGATCTTTATCCATGAAGTGCTTCTTCCTCACCAATCAGAAGGAGCTGCTTGGCCCAGAATTGCTGAAATATCAATGCATCCATCTCCATGGTTCTTACTTCATGGATTTCTCCCCCTTGCTGAGATTTAGGCAGAGGCAACAGAGATAAAAATCCCTAAAATATATTCTAGCAAAGTTGCTGAAAGATTTCAGTTGTTCTTACAGAAAGAGAGGGAAAGAGAGAGAAAGAGAGAGAGAGAGAGAGGGGCAGAGACAGAGGCATCCTAGACTATAGAAATCATGTCATGAGGACATATACATTGAAAGAGAGTGCTTTAAGACAAATATATTTAAATATATTATTATCTTTTAGTTATATCTTACATATACATATATACATTTGTTTATATATGCATCTATGTAGTATTATATATTCATCTATGTATATATTTAAAATATTTTATTTTAGAAATAAAAATGCTTTGGTAATTGTAACCCCTCTGTACAGTATGTTCACAAAAATAAAATTAAATTAAATTAAAAAAAAGAAATAAAAATGCTTTGAAGATTGCTAAAATATAAAGATCATCTCTGTCTGAACACAAAACAGAGAGAGGTACAGCTCTCATGTCTATTTTATTAATTGTAGACTGTATTATGAAACATGAGTGGAAGCCACCATCTTAAAGATGAAATAAAATAAGCAGAAGATGTTAAAATAAACTAAACATAGACACAGCACTTGGCCAAAATGAGGGCAAACCTGAGTAGTGGCTCTGCTCACTCCTAGTCCTTTGGTCTTTTCTTCTTAACTTTAACTTTTGAGTTGATAGAGACACAAGAGAATCCACTGTTATTGAGAAGAGTGGGCCCAGGTCTGGCTAGTGACAGCAGTATATAGAAGTGGCTGGTATGAGTGACTCTAGGCAAGACTCTAGTCGATTTGTGCGTCCTCTTGCTGGAAAATCGGGATGGCAATATTCCTGCAGGTTACTGAAAGGTTCATATTCGATTTTAATGAAGCAAGTGCCAGGTCTGGATGGTTACTCAGTGAATGCTGGTTGTTAATTTGGTGTCAGCTCACAGCCGCTGATTGGTGGAAGGATGTCCACAGTGGGCATCTGATTTTAAAAATGGAATCACCACATTGATTGTGGGCAGATCGATGTTAAGATTGTGTTTAGACCAGGGAGACCTCCGTCGTCTCTCTGGATGAACAACAACCTAACAGCACCCAGGTTTCTGGCCTGCCCCGTGTTGCCCTGTCTTTTACTTCCTCTGTCTTATCTGAGCGGCTTGAAGGACCAGGCAGAGCAGGGCTGTGGCTGAAGCCCAGGATACCTGCTCACAGAACATCTTTGCTTTTGAGTGCCTTTCCATGCTATCCTTTCACATTCTTTCCATCTCTTCTTCCTTTTTTCTCTTGTTTGTCACTCATTTCTCATAGGTGGCCTCTCTATTCAATCCTCTAAGAATGCTGTGGGTGATGGAAGTGGCTAAACCTGATCTCAATTTTATACAATTACATTGATGGGTGCTTTATGTTGTTTTCCTTGTTCAAGCCTCGTAAGACTTAATGAGGCAAGGATTCTTGTCCCTAATTTGTGAAGGGAAAGTATGTTATAAAAGTCAGATCCCCTGGCCCACCTGTGTAGGCTTTTATCTGGACTGCCCTTTCTTAGAATGAGTTGTCAGAGAGCTCTATGTACTTAAATTTCTTTAGTATGATTTTTATTTCAAAGACTTAGCCTCCAAGTGAAATGATTTATGGGTTATATGTGTGGAATTTAGTTCACATAGCCTAATACCCAATGGACAGAGTGAAAAGTAGTCAATCCTCTTGCAGTGTTTAGCCAAAATCCCTTCAGTGGGGGCCATTGCTGGCATTTGTAATCCAGATCTTACTTCTCACTCAAGTTTCAGTTGGCCCTTCAATTTTGTTCGTGTTCTTGTTGCCAGCATTAGATCCTAAATTCTGCTCATGCTAGAAACACTTGGTCTTTTCCATTCATACATCAGCATTACTACTGTCTTGTAGTTCTCTTTGTTTCTCTCCTAGCTGATCACTCCCAGCATCTGTACCTTAGGACCCAGTATCTTGGACCATAGCTCCAAGAAAATGCATGACTGCATTGCAGGAATAAATGCCATAGGAAAGAAATGACTGTATGAATAAGGGAGAGGGTATGCTGCTGAGAAGCATCTGCACACAGTGGGAGTGTTTTCCAGTGACTGGATGCCTCCATCCATGCTTTCTAAATGCAGGGTTTCCTTTGAATTTGAATGTGTCTGGGAAGTTGTGTGTA